CCACTATGGACGAATGTCTACAGAAGCTGATGGAGTTGGCAGAGATGGCTAAATTGACCGTTTTGATTAAAGAAAAGAATATAATAAGTATTTTTGTTTCTGCTTGGAGACCGCTTCTGGATTTTGTGCTTGAGGTGGAAAAAACCCCAGAAACTTTGAGTTTAGGTTGACTGATTAGATTGATTTGTTGTTATGGAAATGGATAGTTTATAATATTATGGAAAAGTAAAAAGTCGCCGTTCATGCTTTATTCTACTGCGACAGAGGAGATCGGAAGTCAGTGCCCTCTCTTCTCTTTTTCCCTTCTCCCCTTCACTTTTCTTTCCCTTTTCCCTCCCCACCGTGTCCTATTTGCTTTTGTATTTTTGCATTTTACTCTATAATCCAGTGGTGGCGAACCTATGGCACGCGTGCCAGAGGGGGCACTCAGAGCCCTCTCTGTGAGCACACAAACCATCGCCCCAGACCCGCCTCCTCCTGCGGCCCCCTCACTAGTCATCTCCGGGCATGGCCCGTGCAGAGCAGCACAGCCAAGGATATGGCAGGGACAAGACTCCACTCTCATGCTCCGTTGTGCGCAGATGATGCTGTGGGGCACAGGTGGAGAGCGTGGCTCCATGGCGCTGCTGGGCCGCCTGGGTGATCTGCTGCGGCGGGGCATGGAGGCAGTGGGTGGCCCTTCGGGTGGGGGGCCAGGGGTCCAGCCGGCGGTTTTTGGACACTCAGTCTCTAAAAGGTTCGCCATCACTGCTATAATCTAATAAAATGTTGCAAATAAAAAGAAAGAAAAGACCCCAGAATGCTGGCAAGGTGGAAGGAGAATGAAGAAGAGGATGGTCAGCTGCAAGGGATGGACTTATACCATAGTGACAGCTGCACCATTGGAAGACCCAAAGGACAAGTTGGGGACAAGAGTGTCTTGGAGCAAATCTTAAGCTATGTAGTCACTAGAACTCACACCAATCTGATGGATAATCAATCAATCAGTCCCAGGACCCAATTCTTTGTATCTCCAACATAACATTGTTGAAAAGGATCTTGCTCAACCCAACTGTGGATACGCTGGCTGAGGAATTCTGGGAGTATCCAAATAACCAAAACACATTTCTGGCCATAACTCTTTACACAATATACTCCAGGCAGAATGTTTAACAGACTACACGGTGTAAGCCAGGGGTCTTCAAACTTGGCCCTTTTATGACTTGTGGACTTCAACTCCCAGAATTCCTCAGCCAGCATGCCTGGCTGAGGAATTCTGGGAGTTGAGGCCCACCAGTCATAAAAGGGCCAAGTTTGAAGACCCCTGCTCAACATGGTTTAAAGCAGCGGTCCCCAACCCCCGGTCTGTGGACCAGTACCGGGCCACGGCATGCCAGCAACCGGTCCACACAAAAAAAGAAAGCCCCATCTATGAGATACAGGCAGCATACAAAACCATGCACCCTCCGGTTTGCGGGGAAAAAAATCAACGGAACAGGTCCCTGGTGCTCAAAAGGTTGGGGACCTCTGGTTTAAAGTACAGGTAGTCCTTGACTTACAACCTTTCATTTAGTGCCTGTTCAGAATTACGACGGCATTGAAAAAAAAGTGACTTAGGACCATTTTCCCCACTTACCACCACTGCAACATCCCCAGGGTGGTGTGATCAAAATTCAGACGCTTGCCAATTGGCTCGTATTTATGACGGTTGCAGCATCCTCACGTGATCGCGCTTTGCGATCTTCTGACAAGCGAAGTAATGGGGAAGCCAGATTCACGTGAACAACGGTGTTATTAACTTAACAGCTGCAGCAATTCATTTAACTGTGGCAAGGAAGGTTGTAAAATCGGGCAAAATTCACTTAACAACGGTCTCATTTAGCCACAGAAATTTGGGGCTCAATTTTGGTTGTAAGTCGAGGACTATATGTTCAAAAGTGCAAGTTTGGCTTATCAGTTTTGACTGCCTTCTGGCTTACCCAGATGTCTAATCATAATTCAAGTGTCTTTTATTTTAGTATAAAACATGTACTCCAGATAATTCTATCTCACACACGCATACAGTTGTGCACGTGCAGAGAAGCAGAGGCACATATACCCAGACACATTAAGAAGCATGCACAAAAACTGACCACAGAGAAGCATGAAGATCAGTGGTTCTCAACCTTTTTAATGCCGCGACCCCCAACCGGTCGTAAGTCGAGGACTAAACCGGTCGTACGTCGAGGACTAAACCGGTCGTAAGTCGAGATCTAAACCGGTCGTAAGTCAAGGACTACCCAACCGGTCGTAAGTCGAGGACTTTCCCTGCCCGGGAGCGCCACGCATGCGTGGTTCCGCCTCCTGCGCCGGCTGAGGCATAGCTGGCAAGCGGCAGAGACAGAGCAGGCCGACCACCAGCTGGCCCAGCCCAAGGGAGGTAAGGCACCCGCCGGAAAAGGGGAAAAAAATGGTGGACAGCCTTGCTTGGCGACCCCCGTGAAATGGTCGATCGACCCCAAATGGGGTCGCGACCCATAGGTTGAGAACCACTGATGTAGATAGATATAGACTAAGGGTCTCCAAACCTGGCTGCTTTAAGACTTGTGGACTTCAACTCCCAGAATTCCTCAGCCAGCCATGCTGGCTGAGGAATTCTGGGAGTTGAAGTCCACAAGTCTTAAAGTGGCCAAGTTTGAAGACCCCTGATATAGACCCTCAAAGACTTGTGCATACCACCCAAACAAGCCAATCGAGAAAGACGACTCAAAGGTAACAATATAATTAAGATGTTGTCCAGCCCTCTGAAAATCTGCCCTGTCAGAATGCACCCATACTACAGTAGTCTTTGACTTACAACCATTTGCTTAGTGACCGTTCCAAGTTACAATGGCACTGACTTGTGACCGTTTCTCAGACTTACGACTGTTGTAGCATCGCCATAGTTTAGGTCATCAACATTTGAATGCTTGGCCATTGATTCATATTTATGACCGTTGCAATGTCTGGGGGGGCGGGGGTCACGTGATCCAACTTTCGCGACCTTTTCACCAGCCAAGTCAATGGGGAAGCCAGATTCACTTAACAACTGTTGTTACTAACTTAACCGCAGCAATTCAGTCAACGGCCACGGCAAGGAAGGTCGTAAAGGGGGCAAGACTCACTTAACGACAGTCTCGCTTAGCAACGGAACTTTTGGGGTCGTTTGTGATTGTAGGTCGAGGACCACCTGTACCCTAGAACTCTTTTCAGTTATTGCAGCTTCTTCTCTTTTGTTCTGAGCGTCCTAGCGGACCTACTGAATGAACTGCAGATCAGTCTTCCCCAATCTTGGCACCTGTTGTGATTCCTCACCAGCCAGTGGACCTGGCAGCTGAGTCTGAGGAATCAGAGGAGGAGGAGGAGGAGGGGTCTGGAGTGACATCAGAGTCAGAGGAAGGCTCTGAGGAGCTCCAAGACTTACAGTCTGACGAGGAGCCTGGCCCCTCTATTCCCGCTCAGGCTGAGACACAGCTGTGCTGGAAGCCTGAGTTGGACAGTGATGAATCACAGCTGGGAGATATCCAGGATGCACAAAAGCGCAGGCAAGAGAAGCAAGTAGGACAGAGGAAGGCAATGGGGTGGCTCCAAAGACAAAGGAGAAGGCATTAGGAAGCCACGCCTTGGCTGCATAATATAAGGGAAGGTGTGGGAGGTGCTGGTTGCCTTTGGCAACCGTTTGTGTTGAGGATCGAGTTTCTGTGAACTGTGTTTGTTTGCCTTGGACATTGACTCAGGTCTGTGAATAATAAAAGGGGATTGGTTTTTTTCCCTGCGGTGCCTGCCTGTTTGTTGGAAGAGGGGTTTCTCCTTGTGAGCATTAACAAGGACTCATGTCGGTTGGGACCCAACAGTACCTTCTAAAGGTGTGGATTTTCAGTGCCCACCATTCTCAGCCATGGTTGAGCCATCAGGAGGAGTTCCAGGGTTGGGGGAAACCCTCACCCATCATCAAGTTTTAGCATAGGGGTTTGGTTTCTTTCATAGATTTTCTGAACACAGCTAAGAAACACAGACACACAAGCATATCAGTGAAGAGAATTCAAGAAACAAGACTTGAAATAAAAACCAAAACATGTGGGACCTGAAACAGTGATGATGATTAGTGTTGTCCTTCATTTTATTCTCTCTCTCTACGCTCAGTTCTCTATACCCTCCCACTAGTATCCCCAATAATCACCAAGTAGGCTTAGTTCTCATTCAGCTGTTTTGGAGGTGGGATTTTTCCGTTCCTGGATATCTCCCACCTTCCAAGGAGATTTCTGCACTTCTTCAAACAGGGATCTCCTGCTGGGCTTAGCCTCCCCTCCTCCTTCCACGGAGGTGGCGCTACCTTAACTGCAAGTTCAGATACTCTGAGCCCGAATGCGTGTAGAGATTGTCAATCATCCAGGTCACGGCTGTCTCAAAGGTGCTAATGACCCATCAGATGACTGCAAAGAACATAAACCCTTCCATTCTCCACCATTCAAGTCAGAACCGAAAAAGCTTCTTGGATGAGAAGCGAAATGTTTTCAACGGAAAAATCCAAAGAAGTCCAGTTGCCTTTTGAAAAGTCTGAGTCTGAATGGAGAGTCTGAGTCTGAACGATGGAAACAGGAGACTTGGTGCGGTATCTTCAAGCTCTCCAAAGATCAATCACTAACCACCGTGAGGGAGAACATTTTGAAGGGTCCTCCTGGATCTGACAAAACATCTGTCTAGTGCAGGGGTAGGCAACCTTGGCTCTTTCATGACTCGTGGACTTCAACTCCCAGAATTCCTGAGCCAGCCATGCTGAGGGGAAAGGGAGAGGTTTCCAAGCTGAGCCATGCTGGCTCAGGAATTCTGGGAGTTGAAGTCCACGAGTCATAAAAGAGCCAAGGTTGCCTACCCCTGGTCTAGTTCTAGTCCTCTGGTCAGGGCAGAAAATGTATTGTCCACATCCTGGATCTCTTATGGTGGCGGTTCTGACTTCTGCACGAGTTTTCACACACGCGGAAGATGCAAAGCCAAAAGCGTATCTATTTTTTCCCTTCTTTATGGATTCCCTGATGTCTAATAAGGGTGGATTTGTGACTAAACCCCTTTCCACATTTGGAGCAGATGTAAGGTTTCTCTTCCGTGTGATTCCTCTGGTGCCTAACAAGATGGTGACTGTAAACAAAGCCTTTCCCGCATTCCGAGCACTTGAAGGGTTTCTCTCCGGTGTGGATTCTCTCGTGCGTCTTCAGCTGCGACGGCCTGTTGAAGCTTTTCCCGCATTCTGAACATTTATGGGGCTCCTCCCCCTTGTGGGTTCTCTCGTGATTATGAAGACTTGACGTCTGGTTGAAGCGCTTCCCGCACTCGGAGCATTTGTACGGTTTCTCTCCGGTGTGGATTCTCACGTGGACAACCAGGTTTGATTTGAGGCAGAAGCTCTTCCCGCAATCAGAGCATTTGAACGGCTTCTCTCCCGTGTGGATTCTTTCGTGCCTGCCCAGGCTTGCTTTCTCTCCAAAGCCTTTCCCGCAGTCAGAGCATTTATAGGGTTTCTCCTCCATTGGCATTTTCCCTTCCGGTAGGTGAGTCTGGTGATGCTTCATAAAGTAAGAGATTTGCCTGAAGCTTTTCCCACAGTCTGGACACTTGTACGGCTTCTCTCCGGTATGAGTCCTCTCGTGTTCTTTCAGGTTTCCGGCCTGGCTGAATCTTTTCCCACAGTCGCAGCATTTGTAGGGTTTTTCTCCGGTGTGAGTCCTTTGATGCGCAATGAGGTTAGAGCTGGTGCTGAAGGACTTCTCGCAGCCTGAACATTTATACGGCTTCTCGCCTGTGTGAAACCTGTAATGGGTGGCCAGCTCGGAGTTCTTTCTGAAACTTCTCCCGCAGTCCAAGCAAGTGTACGGTCTCTCGCCGGTGTGGGTCTTCTCGTGTTCTTTCAGGGACCCAGATCGGCTGAACCTTTTCCCGCAGTCCGGGCATTTGTAGGGTTTCTCTCCCGTGTGGGTCCTCACGTGCAAAACCAGGCTCCCTTTGTGGCTGAAGTTTTTCCCACAATCGGGACACACGAACGGTTTTTCCCCCGTGTGGATTCTCGCATGCGCGATGAGGTTGCCTTTTTGGTCAAAGCTCTTCCCGCAATCCAAACACCTGTACGGTTTCTCCCCGGTGTGGATTCTGTGGTGTCTAATCAATTTAAAGTGGGCGTTGAAGGACTTCTTACAGTACAAGCACTGGTATATGGCCTGCTCGTCTTGAGCTGTGCTGCCGAGCGAACTCTTCTGCCGTTCGCCTACACGGAGTCCCTCCCGGCTGGGGAGTTCACTTCCCCAGGAAGGAACGGAGTTAGCTGCAGTCTTTTCCAGAGAGTTCCCCTGAGGCCTCCACAGTTCTTGGGCACCTTTCACGGGTTCCTTGTGCACAACATTGTTGCACCCGTTCTCTTCAGCTGCCCCTTCCTCAGGTTTCCACTGATGGTCCTCACCTTTTACCTCAGACACGTAACTTTTACCTGAAAGTATAAAGCACAGACTTTAAAAAAAAATATTACAGAATGTCAGTTGCCACCTCACGCTTGCTTGTGTGCTTCACTGCCATGTGGCAACAATCTGTCATGAACTCTGGGTAAAGGGTGAGGGGAGGGGGAGATCCTTGGGGGAAAGCAAAAGTAATTGCTATATCTCCCCAAGATGCTGCTTCAAGGTCAGCCGGCTGGGAGAAGGCGGCAGCTGCATACCAACCTATCTTTCAAGTGTCCCTGTCAAGTTTCGAAGCCCAGTCTTGCTGGTGCGACAGACATTGCTTCTCAAACTTGCCAACGAACTTGGGGGGAGGGGAGAGGTTAAAGAAGCAGATTGTGGGAATCAAGGGCAATAGCCAGGTGTCTGGCGGGCCCAGAGACGGTCTCTCACAACAATATTTTCCAACTTGATTGGGCAACGTGACCTAATCCAGAGGGAGAAGGAAGGAGTTAATGCTTTTACTATAGGGCAGTGATGGCGAACCTTTTAGAGACCGAGTGCCCAAAACCCGCCCCCCCACCCCTGTCCCCGCTCTGCCGTGCCTGCTGGGCCACCCACCACCTTCACGGCCCACCACAGATCACCCAGGCAGCCCAGCAGCGCCATGGTGGCCACACTCTCCGCCTGTGCCCCGCAGCATCATCTGTGTGCGACGTGGCGCAAGGGTGGAGTTTTGTCCCCGTTGCGCGGCTACCATGTCCTTGGCTGCGCTGCTTTGCGTGGGCCATGCCTGGGGGTGACTGTCCTCCAGGGGGCTGCTGGTGAGGAGGGGACCATGGGAGGAGGCAGGACTGGGGTGACGGTGTATGTGCCCACAGAGAGGGCTCTGAGTGCCGCCTCTGGCACGCGTGCCGTAGGTTCGCCACCACTGCTATAGGGGGATTGGGACGGGTCCAGCCAGAGCTGGTTTTACTTTCATCGGTGCTGATATGGTGTGCTCAATAAAGCTTTGCATTTAAGAGATCAGAAAGTCTCAAAGGCGGTTGCTTGGTTGGGTTCGCCAGTCAGAACTTTGACAGTCCATTCTGAAAACATCTTGCTTGAACCCAATTGGTTGGGGGGGAGGGGCGGAATCAGTGATGGGAGGCAGTTAAGTGAGGGAAAAGTTGAACTTAGGGATTTGAGTGTGAGATTCTCAGCTTCGGCTATGTATTACTATAATACACTATACCAGGGGTAGGCAGCCTTGGCTCTTTTATGACTCGTGGCTCAGGAATTCTGGGAGTTGAAGTCCACAAGTCATAAAAGAGCCAAGGTTGCCTAACCCTGCACTATACATTATACCTTTCTCAACAAGTGGAGCCAAGAATCCTTTCTATTTACAGATTTAAGTGCTGACAGGTCTGACACAGATAGTCCTCGACTTATAAAAGCAACTGGAATTTCTGTTGCTAAATGATGCTGTCTTACAGCACAACTACATGACTTAGCAATGACAATCCCTACAGTCCTGGTTGCTGGCATCCACCAAATCCCACCAAATCAAAGTCTGTGGGGAAGCCAGCATTAAGTTGCAAGGCCCAGGCCGATAGGCATTTCCAAAAATATATAGCTACCCAGAGTCATGTGTTTGAGACGGGCGGCCATTTAAATTAAAGGAATAAACACTGCTTCTCTAACTTAAGATCATCTATGGATTTTTTTTCTCACCTTCAGGATCTTTGGTCTGGTCCAATGTGATGGTTTCCTCTTCCTTTTTAACTCCATCCGGGTCAAAAAGAACAATGCCAGCCTGCAACTTCTCCAGATCTTCCTTTTGACTCATCCTGGACATCTGAACATCTTCGTGGAAAATCCTTCGGAAAGAGGTCACCGGTTTTTCATTCAGCCTGTTCTCAACTTCTTCGGGAGGGCCGTTATTTCACATGTGGCTTCCTAATCAACGACAGGCAAAATTTCTAATCAACGACAGGCAAAACTAAGAGAAGTATTCCCCAAAACATTGCCCCCAGCCACGCTGGACCACAACGCCCATCACCCTCACCAAAAGGCGACACCAGCAATAACGGTGTTTTTGGAATAACGGGAGTTACAATCCAACAAATTGCAAAAGGGACGATTAGCTGAGACTGATGGAAGCACAACCTTATTTCATTCAGCCTATTGTCTGGGAATTCTGGAAATTGGGGGTTCCCCAAATATTTGGAGATAGCAGGTTAAGAGAAACTACCTAAGACTCTTTCAGCTGGGTCCATATTTTTTCTCTTGGGTTCAGTGTGACTTCTGAAATGGGCAATCGTGTGATAATCAATACTGACCTCCTCTGTTTTATTTATTTTTCACATTTTTGATCCGCCCATCTCCTTCAAAACTCCCCTCTTCCAGGTTACTGAATTCATGAAGGCTGGGCCTAGAAATCAGGGGTAGGCACCATTGGCTCTTTTATGACTCGTGGACTTCAACTCCCAGAATTCCTGAGCCAGCCATGCTGAGGGGAGAAGTTTTCAAGCTGAGCCATGCTGGCTCAGGAATTCTGGGAGTTGAAGTCCACGAGTCATAAAAGGGCCCAGGTTGCCTACCCCTGGCCTAGATTCACCCTCTAAGAAACAGGATAGTTTAATGGAGATATAGCACCCACTTTGGTGTAGTGGTTGAGATCAGGAGACCAGGAGGCAGTGAATTCTAGTCCCACCTTAGGCATGAAAGCCACTGGGTGACTTTGGGCTAGTCATTCTCTCTCAACCTAACCCACCTCACAGGCTGCTGTGTAAAAGCAAGGAAGAAGAAGGATTAGATATGTTTGCCACTGAAAACACATACATAAAAGAACATTTTAAAAGGGGGGATAAATATACAGATAGTCTTTCAAGTTACAATCACAACTGAGTCCAAAATTTCTGCTGCTTAGCGAGACATTCCTTAAGTGAGTTTTGCCCCATTTTATGACTTTTCTTGCCATAGATGTTAAGAGAATCACTGCATTTGTTAAATTACTGGCATGCTCGTTAAGTGCATCAGGATTCCCCCCATTGGTTTTCCTTGTCAGAAGGCCACAAAAGGTGACCCTGGCACACTGCAACCGTCATAAATATGAGTCTGTTGCCAAGCATCTGAATTTTGATCATGTGACCATGGGGATGCTGCATCGGTCGTTAAGTGTGAAAAACGGCCATAAGTCACTTTTTTTCAGTGCCGATGTAACGTTGAGCGGTCACTAAATGAACGGTTGTAAGTTGAGCACTACCTGTAATATGATGATGGGTGGAATGAAAGAGTATTGAAGGGGTTCGCACAAGTCAAGTCACATAGACTGTAATGTGATATGTGGGAATGAACTTGGGAGAACAGGAGAAACACTCACTGCCTGGGCAAAGGTCTCAGAGGAGGCAGCTCAGGCCACAGATGAGGGATCACACGGGAAGCATTTCAGTTTCCCAAAGACTAAAAACTGAGAAGGGGACAAATAATAATAATAAAGTTGGAAGGTACTTTGGAGGTCATCTAGTCCAACCCCCTGCTCAGGCAGGAAACCTTATACCATTTCAGACAAATGGCTGTCCAGTCTCTTCTTAAAAACTTCCAGTGTTGGAGCATTCACTACTTCTGGAGGCAGGTTGTTCCACTGGTTAATTAATAATAATAATAATAATANGGGACCTTGGAGGTCATCTAGTCCAACCCCCTGCTTAGGCAGGAAACCCTATACCATTTCAGACAAATGGCTGTCCAGTCTCTTCTTGAAAACTTCCAGTGTTGGAGCATTCACTGCTTCTGGAGGCAGGTTGTTCCACTGGTTAATTGTTCTAACTGTCAGGAAGTTTCTCCTTAGTTCTAGGTTGCTTCTCTCCTTGGTTAGTTTCCATCTGTTGCTTCTTGTCCTGCCTTCAGGCGCTTTGGAGAATAGCTTGACTCCCTCTTCTTTGTGACAGCCCCTGAGATACTAGAACACTGCTATCATGTCATCCCTCGTCCTTTCAGTCTTGCAAGATTCTGTTAATGTAACCTCACAATACAGGTAATCCTCAACTTATGACCTGAACTGAGCCCAACATTTCTAAGCGAGACAGTCATTAAGCGAGTTTCACCCCATTTTTATGACCTTTCTTGCCACAGTTGTTAAGTGAACCACGGCAGTTGTTAAGTTAGTAACTCGGATGTTAAGTGACTCTCACTTCCCATTGACTTCGCTTGTCTGAAAATCGCCAAAGGGGATCACATGACACACACTCACACATACCCGGGACATTGTAGCCGTCATAAACATGCCACCGTAATGTCGAATGGTCACTAAACAAACTGTTGTTAAGTCGAGGACTAGCTGTAAAGTAGAATTAGTTCATCTGGGTGTGCTTCTTATCTGGACTACCTCACAAGGCTGATGTAGCCCAAACCACAAACAGAGAGTCAGTTGCAGCAAAACAAAGGAAGGATATTATGATGTGAGGCATGACAAGTGAGCGCAGCCACTTTCAGCTGTCCCAAGTTCCTTACCCTTTTTGGACAAGGCTGTTTTTCACAGTTTGTAAGGGAGAAGATTGCGGGTTCAAATCAACCTCTCAAGGATGCTTCCGAACCAAATGAGCCGTTCCCACGATCCTGTTTGCCTGGCTCCTACTAAGCGGGTCCCCTTTGAGCATCCCTGTTCCGCAGGGTGTGCCACGCACATCTCCGTGCTTCCCTGTTGCAATTCATTCAGCCAAGTGGCCAAGCGCTAAACCAGTGGTTCTCAACCTGTGGGTCGGGACCCCATTTGGGGTCGATCGACCATTTCACGGGGGTCGCCAAGCAAGGCTGTCCGCCATTTTTTTTGACCGCCATTTTTTTTCCCTTTTCCGGCGGGTGCCTTACCTCCCTTGGGCTGGGCCAGCTGGTGGTCGGCCTGCTCCGTCTCTGCCGCTTGCCAGCTATGCCTTGGCCAGCGCAGGGGGCGGAACCACGCATGCATGGGACTCCCGGGCAGGGAAAGTCCTCGACTTACGACTGGTTGGGTAGTCCT